ATCATCCCTGGGGGCCGGCAGCTGGGGGGGGGGCGGGAGCCCCGCCACGCTCCCATCCCCCTGGCTGGATGCATCCTGCATCCCACCGTGTCCGTCCCCCAGCCACCTTCCCGGAGCCACTGCAGGGCACTGCTCCTGTCAATTCAATGTTTTTTGAGCTGTCAAGCAGCAATCCGCAGACTAAGTACTGCTCTGGCTTTAATGGGTTGTGCATAATGAATGTTTATAAGGCAGCAAGAGAGGGACCCACTAATGGAGGCCAGCGGGGGCAGATCATTCCCACGGCAGGGCGCAGGCAGGAGCTGGGGTTTCCGTTCGGTGTGGCAGGGCAGCGTGTGACACACAGCGCCGGGGGCGAGGGGCGAGCCCCGCTCCGCTCCCCACCCTGCGCCAGAGCAGGGTTCGGTCAGGAGAGCCCCTGTGCTGAGCCAGGAGTGCCACACACCCCTGTGCGTATTCACGAGCTCTTGCATTGGTGTTTGGGAGAGCAAGTCCTCCCACCTGGGTCACCCCGGCCATGGTGGCAGAACCTCCAAATTTTGTTGGGAAGCCCAAGAAAAGCAATGCCAAATCATGCCCGAGGAAGGATTGCGGGCAGGAGAGTGCTCTGCTGGCACCAGTGGGGCAAGTCGCAGCAGTGCATGAGCTGGTGCGAGCCAGGAGCTGGTGTGCAGAGCCCCGGCAGCAGGGCCGCGGCCAGAGGGACCCCAGCACACCCAGGCCGACGCTGGAAAGCTGCCCTGGACAGGGTGGGCAAGGGGAGAGCAGAGCCAAGGGCAGGAAAGCTCCCTGCACCCACCCCAGCCAGGGCAGGGAGCCCCAGGCAGCAGCGACCTGGAGCTGGCAGGAGGAGGTGGTGCTGCCTGCACCGTCGGTCGACCGGTAACAGCTGCTCTACAATTTACAGGCATTTGACAGGCACTTAATTTTTCAAACCTCCATGAGTTCAGCTCAGATACCGGCTTCTTACAGAGGCCTGCATTATGCATGAGCCACCCCCCTGCCACCCCCTCCGTCTGCACCCCAGAGACATCAAAAGCCAGCAAAGCTCCTCAGAGCCCAGACACAAGCTCAGGTGATCAGCCCCAGTACAAGCTCCAAGCAGGAAAATGGGTCCAAGCTAATGAGCACCGTGTTAGACCCGTCTGAGCATGGCACCCTGCAGAGGGGGGAGAGGGGCCACCGGGGATGGGTGTTACGCAGCTCAGAGGACTCTCCATCCCCAGGAGCCCCCCAGAAGGGACCACAGATGCCTCGTTAAACACAGCCCCCATCCTTCCCCTGGAGCATCACCCTGCCAGCAGCCCCTGGGGGGTTTGCTCACAGCCACGGGCAGCCAGCAAGGCTGGCAGCACCCAAGGTGAGAAGGGCAGTGGAGCAAATATCAGATGCTCCAGCAGCGAGCAGTGACATTTTCTGAATCCTGTGTCAAGCATACTCTGCTTGTCGCTCAGAGAGAGCCAGATGCCTGACATGAGCTTCTTCCCCATCCTCCACAGCTGAGTTCTGTCTCCAGATGTCCTCCCTCCTCCTCAGTGGGATCAGAGCAAGACAGGCAGTCCCCCAGGCAAGGGAT